TGGTGATGGAGCTGATGTTCAGCTCCCACTTGAGGTCCTGGGTGATGATGGAGCCCAGGAAACAGAAAGAGTCCACAGTGGTGACAGGGGAGTCACACGGGGGGAGGGTGGGACTTCCTGAAATCCACAACCATCTCCACTGTCTTTAGAGCGGTCAGACTCCCACCTGTAGGCCGACTCATCCCCACCAGAGATCAGTCCAATGAGGGTGGTGTCATCCGCAAACTTCAGGAGCTTGACGGACTGGTGGCTGGAGGTGCAGCTGTTGGTGTACAGGGAGATGAGCAGAGGGGAAAGAACGCAGCCTTGAGACATGTTTCCCCAGCGTCACGTACTGCAAAATGTTTCCAAATAAATGCCAACTGTGGAAATTCTATTGTGCAATTCACAGAGAACAGATCAAACGCGTGAAAGACTCTGACGATGTTCCCATGGTGCTCGTGGGAAACAAATGCGACCTCCCGGCACGCACGGTGGACACGAGGCAAGCCCAGGAACTCGCCCGGTCTTATGGCATCCCTTACATCGAGACCTCTGCCAAAACCCGACAGGTAGATCATGAGCAAGAAGCACACGCCCACAATACCTGCCTACGGTGTCGGCCCTCCGACTGGCTGCCTAAAGAGACACACGGTTCACTGATTGATGTTTGTTTTTTAAGATTCTTCTTTCTTTTTTTTTAGTCACCAGCCACCAAAATCCTACTTTCTTGTTCTCCTTGTCCTAGTTCAAAACCTTTGTTAGATAAGTCATCTAAGTAGTCACAGATATCTATAAAAATATCACATAAAAAGTCAATCTTCACAACCCTGCTGTAAGGGAGGAGTAGGCAGAGGGCTTTTCAGGGGTCTATCAAAATTCCGATTCTACGTAAATTTGAACTCCGCCTGTCCTATGTATGGGATCTAGTGAATGATCCGCAGTATTATGCCATTTGCGCTGCTGGAAACGCTTTATGATGCCGCATGCGGTGACTCGTAGCCAGGTGGCCTTGGCAGGCTGCATAAAGACGCGTCGCTGCACAGCTCCCACTGTCTCTGACTCACTGTCACACACTATGGAGGAACATGCAGTCTCTCGCATTCATCATTTAACCGGAAGAGCGCGTTAAGAACTGACTGACTTCTTTTCAGTCCCAATGATTTCTTTTGATTAACGGCGTCTGAAATGTCCATGTTGTCATGGCGATGTCACCAGGCCTCTCAATGCTAAAGACACCTGAGAGATTCAAGGTCTATTTACAAGGGGTTTATGCCGTGCGCTCACATTTAAAATTGACCATTGCCTGTGTCCAGATGTCTGTGCAACCTTTTGCTGTGTGTTTACAGGGAGTAGAGGACGCCTTCTACACACTGGTCAGAGAGATCAGACAGCATAAGCTGAGGAAGCTGAACCCACCCGATGAGAGCGGTCAGGACTGTATGAGCTGTCGCTGTGTGGTCTCGTGATGCAGGTGAGACATATCTTTTTTTTTTTACGGTTATCACGCAATATGGGAAGTCCAGTTCGACTTCTCATTATGACCAAGAATAGTTGTGAAACCTCAGTTTCACTTTACACTGTGTAACTGTCTTCCCCAAAAACGCCACCAAGATGCCACTAATATCCGCGTCCCTTTTTTGTCTCCCCTCTGTCCACAGCGGACTGTTGCATGTTGAGGAGAAATGCTACTGCGCGTAGTGGCAGCATGGACTTACTGATAGAAAGTTAAAACAACGCAATGATGAAATATAAACTTTTTCAAAAAGAGGAGGATTGCAGCAAAACCTCTCAAGGGAATCACCAGACCCGACTGAACCGTGGCCCTTCATGGAAAGGAGGATTTGGACCGTTGCCTTTTGTGGCTATCTGAGCGGGTCCGGTCCCTCCTTTTGGTTTCCACGTGTCGCCCTGAGAGCGACGCCACTAATGACTCTTTGTCCACTCCGGCGTGGTCTCCCTGGATGGCTCCACAAGTTTCCTGCTAACTTATTTTTTTTCAGTCTCAACACTGGTCTTAAAGGGGGTGTCTCTGACCTCCTTCCACCTTGAAAGCCTAACCCCCCCACCCCCTCCATTCCCCGCTGCCGCCTGCCCACTTGAAGGACCGACTGAGTACAATAGAAAGGACTAGAACATGGATGCCCCTCCCCTTGTCCCCCCATCGCCCTCCACCTGCCTTTTGTGTTCACCCCCCAATGGCTGCGTGGAGCATATCAGTCATTGTGCTGGATACGGGTTGGAGGCTGACATGGAACTGACTATACTTTGTTGTTTGACCGGTTGTACAAAGGCCTAGAGTTTTTTTGGGGGGGGATATGACATGTTTTGTTTGTGATTGCAGAGTCTAAAAGCCACAGAGCAATATGTGAGTGAGGGCGTTCATTACAGGTGGGACCGGGCGTGACACATAGTTGGAATTTGTTAATATAAAGATTGATGAATTCCCAGAATACAGCTGCCTTCTTTTCTTTCAAATGTTTTCTTTGCTACAGCAAACGTTGTCTTTTTGTAATAGTAATCACTAATGTACGTAAGTTCTGGTGCAATAGGATTATTTACTGTGGATACTTTGGTTCGGGTGGGTTTATATCTGTTGAGGGTTGCATGTGGAAATAGGAGAAACCCCCTGCACAGTCACACAACGACCGCTTACAGTTTTACACAAAATGACAACCAGGGGACTTTTCTTGCATTTCATTTCGGTAAGTGTATGCTGTCCAACTCGTATTTACTACATGGTGATAACGGCTATTTTTAGATGGCAAGAATCCGTCCTACAAGGCTCAGGAATGCAGAGTGCAAGAAAGCGTCACCATTCAACCGTCCTGGAAACCCGAGTTCACAATGTCACCAAATAGAGTTTTAACGCACACGGTCCTGCCTCAGACACTTTGCAGTTTTTTTTTCCCCCTCACACCGTTCTATCCTCAAACCGCTCCTCCTTTCTCTGCCTCCTCAGTTCTGCAATGGAACAATAGTAGTTCAGGTGCTACTCATGTCAGAAACATATTTACTGTAAGTGCGGGACTATTGCGTGTAATAGGTGATGGATATTGGGTTGTGGGAGTGCGTCGCTCTGTTAAATTCATACTAGCTTTTGCTCCTGAGAACTGCATTAATTTGCCGCCTACATGGGAAAAGACTGCTCCGGTTTTACTTATAAATGGACCTTTACATCTTAGCTAGTTTGTACCTCGTGTCTGCAGCGAGATCTACCTGAGACGAATGTGTGTTCTGCCGGCTGTTCTGTTTGGGTTAGGGTTTAGCGCGTTATGCGCTGTATAGAATTTTAAAGGAAAGGCAAGTCCCTTAAAACACTACACTGATTTTAGAGTGGGGGGGGTCTGTAATAGCATGTGCGTTTGAATGTGAGTCTGTGACTGAAAGCCAACCCACTTAAGAGCCCAGTATATGCCAAGTTGTCTTGTTCAAAACATTGGAACATGTGTGACTTTTAAGTCACGGTTATACGTCACGTATGATTATGTTTGGAGTTCCAGGCACTACAAGCAGGTTTTTAGCGACAGACCACAGAGAAATCCCACGCTTCCTCCACAAAAGACGTAACCTGTTATTTTGCCTTCGTCTCCTTTCACCAAAACAAAACAAAAGTTTTTCTCACCTAAACGATTTTGTACAGTTGAAGTTCCCTCGTAACATGGCTTAAAGAAATATGGTCAGTCTTGTTAGTGTGGATGTTGTAGAGTGTTTTTTTTTTTTTAAATCAGTCAAGTGTTCATGTCTCTGCTGGGAGGAAGGATATGAACTGTGAATGTGTGTTTAGGTGTGTTTGAAAGAAGCCTGTTTGTTTAACTTACAATAGTATAATAATGCAGGAGTGGATCCTTGGTCACACTTTTGGCTGTGTTGTTTCTAACCTTTATTTTTCACCCATTGTGCTCATATATAAAAAAAAAAAGGTGTGGCGTTTGTAACATGTAATTACAGTCCTAATAGTATGCTTGTCATCTCCCTGTCAATCATAAAGAAAAAACGTTCATTCACAATAACGCATAGATTTCCATAAATCTTTGTATTCAAATCCCTGTTTCATTAGCCGTCTTCATCATATTGCAACAGGCATTCTCCAGCCAGCAGACAATGCGTGCACCTGTCAGACCTAGAGAGCATGACGGAGACCGCACGGACCGGAGGGACCTTTGCACAAGGACAAAGTGGCTCAAGGGCTTTGTTTCGCCCTCGCAAACTGTCGTTGGAGGTGTGGAAGGAATAACAACTGTTTTAGCTATTTAAGATGTATTTACTCTTTGAAAATGTGGCAAATGTATTTCGGCGACAGGAATAAAGATGTCAAAAGGAAACCGGTCTTTGGTCAATGAGGTTACTCTCAAATGTAAGATTTGCTGCCATCTGCAGGTTTCTTTATGCATCATATTTGAGAGTTAAAAAAAATCAAGGGACAGAATTTGGTTACATTAAATTGTTAAGATTATTATTAATGTTGTGTGGTTGAACTCAGCTGAAATATGTGCGTGTTATTTTCAAAAACAGTACTGAATAATCTCTGTTTGAATGGGAGGATCACAATGTGATACTGTGTGGTTTACTTTATGGGGCCCAGCTGGGATCAATGTTCAAAGTACTGTCTTAAAATGTGTTTACACAGGAGTTTTGCAATCAGCTGGAACATTTGTACAAAAGTTTTAGGCCCCACAGGTAAACAGGGCAGAGCTTTTATTTATTTAATAAAAGTTAACGAAGTACCCACTAAGGTACGGTAATGATCCCTTCACAAGGCAAACTTTGTTATACAAGAGAAGGGAGTAAAATCAGCTTGACTTCCTTGATCCTGATGCAAAACAATACAGTTTCACTGACAACAACCAATCACTGCAGTCTCAATCACAATGATTATTAATAATACTTTTTAATGTTTATTGAGTAACTGCCTTGCTATGGCTTTTTATGGCAGGTGATTTGCATATTCGTGAGGTTGTTCTTTTCACTGGCTTTCAAGTGTCATAAAAGCTGGGCGGTTACCCATAAACCCGAGAACCACACAACTGGAATTGGTGATCGAAAAGATACACGGGAAGTACATTTTCATTTCGGTTTAAGCGTAATCATGCCGTACTTTGAGAATGCGATTAGAAAAATGCTCCCTACGGTAAGAATAATGATCAACAATTGGACCAATAATTTGTATTCCCCAAATCAATCAAGTTGTATGAATAGAATCCATGTGTATTCTGTTCAGTGTTTGTTTTTGTGTTGAAGAAATATCGCCGCAAACATGTGGCCCATGACATGTATGTTGCAGTGGTCCACTTCCAAAGCCTTGTGCCGATGATGGGCAGACATGGTAAGAAGTGAAAAAACAGCTAACCATATCTTCCTTACCGTTCGACCAGAGAAAAATTATACAACAAGCTTTAGATACCACCGTCAGTCGTCTATTTCTTTCAGTTTACAACGACGGAACCACAAAAAACTTGATGAGTCTAACCGGAACCATTCCTGTCCTGTTTGAAGGTAACAATGACTTTGTGATTTTTACGATTGAATCAAATGCCGACTGATGTGTATTCTGTAAACAGTTCATTATAAAAAAATTAATGTATTTATAATATCTAGAGAATATATAGAGAAATCACCATTTTCTCTGTTCATACATACAAGACGAGACCTACAACATTCCTGTATGCCTTTGGATTGAGGCAAGCTACCCTCAAACTGCTCCCATCTGCTATGTCACACCCACTAGTGACATGATGGTCCTCAGTGGAAAGTACATCTCCAGCAATGGTGAAGTCATGCTGCCTTACCTGGAGGACTGGAAGAAAGTGAGAATTTAAATGATATCTCGTGCTCTTTCCCTCGTCTGTCTGTAAAGAGACACAGACAATGGCCCTGACGTGTACGGAACGCAGCGCCTCAGAGCTTTACATGTTCACGCGTGATCTCCTTTCTCCTGTCAGGGCGAATGTGACCTCGTCAGCTTACTGCAGGTGATGGTTGTTACGTTCGCAGACTCCCCCCCTGTATGCATGCAGCCTCATCCAGAGCCCGAGGAAGCTCCTTGTGAGTTACACGTCTCTGTGTTGTTTTAAAAACAACACGTATGTGCCCTGGTTATAAGTTGCTGCAAAATAAAATGCATAGGCCACACCCCATTCAGTTCCTGTAAACATGTTCACGAGTTTGTTGTAACGACTTTCTAAAATGAAAATTGTGTTTTATAGGTTGGCTACAGTTCCACAGACAAGCAGAGGTTCTTCCAAAGACAGATGGAAGTTTGTATATGAATTTAGCTGGTGAAGATGGTCTACCTTTCCAGCAAGAAAATGAAACCAACTGTTAGTTCTGTGCAATTTGAAAGTTAATCTGAACAGTTTGTGTGTGTGTTGTGCGTCAGATGGTATCCATTGATCATATCATGGTTAATGCATTAATCATTTCAGATAAATAACAGCATGCTTAATTTGTTTCAAATCATTTAGACTATAAATGTCAAGCAGCAGAAAATATATTGATCTAGTTTGGTATGAATGTATTAGACTTTTTTCCAATATGTATTTTATTTTAACAAAGTTACTATGACATTTGAATGATTTTCTGTCTAAAGACTGACATGCTTTACAAGCATCTCATAAAACGGTGCCTTACCCTTGTGCATTTACTATGTTCTTATCTACACATATTTTGGACTTTGGAGTGAGAAAGTCAGTTATTTAAATAATACAGCCATGCAGCCCAATTAATCCGATTTTTTTGTTTATTTAATTTTGACAGTGAATCTATCTGATAACTCTTCGGTTGATTTGAAAAACTATTTCTCAGTTACTGTTTTTAAAAATGTTGTGACTTCTTTTGTCAAACGTTTCATCTGCCGAGCCATTGTGAATAAAGTTATGGTGTGAAACACCTTCAATAGAATATATTTGTTTTGCATAATTGCTTGGTACACTGCGTCCTTTGTCCTTATGGTTCGCGAAAGGAAAGTCACCTGACTACACCGGAACAGCTCGTCTACTACTGACGTCACATGCAGACCGGAAGTAGTCAGGTGGAATGCCGGAAATTTGTTTTGTTGACTATCGGTTACTTATTTTCTACCCCTTTTCTGGAACTACTAACTACTAACTTACGTTGGTTTGTTTTTTGTAATATTTTTGGACTAGATTTTAGCGCGTTGACAGAAGAGTCGTCGTGTTGGAGTGGAGGGCTCCGTATAGACACCGAACGATTGTTGTCGGGTCCCGGGCTGGGCTAACTTTAGCCTAGCATTCCGTGAAGTCCTGCTAACCAGCCTTCGCGTGTGTTAGCTGTCAGTCTAGCTGCGTCAAACGTCAGCCGTTAACTCACCTTGCTCACTAACAGGAACGGTAACAAACACAGGTGCAAACACCATGGCAGTCGTGAACGAAGGTGCCCTAAAGAAAATGCTGAAGGTAGGTGTTACGGTGTCTAGCTGACTAACAGTAGACCGCTGGCTAGCTAACTTAATGTTACCGATACCACACACTGGAACCGTCCGCAGGTTAACATTTCCTGGAAGGTTTAATGGCCGGACGGCATTTTGTCTTTATTTAAGTAAGTTAGTAAGATGCTTTCATAAGAATGAATGTTTAACTGAGACCCTTTTCCACAAATACTCAATCTTAGCTTGTAACGTTACCTCTTACCGTATAGCACAGGCACCTAAACAAGCTGACGTCATTAAAACATTATAAACATGTTGAGTTTTATGATTTATATATTTCCCACCTCAACAAATACCCCTTTGTTGTTCGTAATGTTGTTGAATATGCTCTCTTATAAATACATGCAGTAATCTACATTTTATTGAATATCTTGTACTATTAATAATATATCTTGTGTTTCTTTCAAAAAAAAAAATGTTTGCAGTTCTGGGATAATCAGCCTTTTTTGATTAAGTAGAGCGTTATTGATGTTCATAATTTACGTTTCGTTTACAGATTAAATGTAAGCATTATGTTTACGTCAGTTGATCACACAGTTGATGGCCTTATGATGGGTTTCACACAAACTTCACAGATGTCATCAAATTGTGTACAGGACCAGAATGAAATTGTATAACCCAGATTTAAGTGTGTTCTCACAGCTTTTAGCAGACAACATCCCACTGGCTTTTCTTCACAGGGCCCGTTTGTTTTAGCATTACCTTTTAGGGTATCTGTGTAACCCATAAATACATAGAAGCAGTATTGGACCCAATGAGCCAGCACGGAGAATGGATCTTTACTAACGTAATTTTTTTCCTGTTAAACTTTTGTTGTCATTGTCCAGCAGTACAAATACAGAGATCTGACTGTCCGTGAGATAACCAACGTCATCCTCCAGTATAAGGACTTGAAGCCACTCATGGATGCTTATGGTAAATGATACTCATATCCTGTTTTATAGAGGTATTGTTTGCTAACTAATGACATATAACCAAATTGTTTGCTTGTTGACATGAGGCCTTGTTTAATTTCAGTGTTCAATGATGGCTCCACAAGAGACCTAATGAGCCTGACGGGAACGGTCCCAGTGAGCTACAGAGGTAAAAATATGTTTTCTCTATAATAACAAACAGAAAACGTAATGTATAGTTTCTAAGTAGAAAATGAAAGACTGGGGAATAACAAGTTGACGGTCAGTTTCTGTTTGGTTTTGCTTCTTTGCTCATCGAATCATTCTCTAGTGTAGCTTGCTCTGTTTATCTTCCACTCTTTAAAAGTTAAACTGTCATCCCTGCCTCAACCAGAGTATGATTGAGACCTGCTGTTCTGGCATCATGGCTTCAATTGCATTCAGGAGACTTTTGATAAGACATCTCATTGTGAGCATCCACCCAGTTTGGGTTTGGGATTACTAACACATTATCTTACTTGATATCAAGACACAATTTTAGCCTTTAAAAGGTACATTTCAACAGCACATGCTCATTCTCATGTTTGCTCCATGTAGAGGTCCAAATTGCACTTGAAAACAAAATAAAGACTTTGAGAAAGTGTTCTTCGAGTGTAGAGTGGCGTGATGGCAATGTTGAGATTAAGAAAAAAAAATAAAAAAAGATACAAACGTTATAACGTGGCGTTTGTTTTTCCTGAAGGCAATGTCTACAACATTCCTGTGTGCCTCTGGTTGCTGGACACGTATCCCTACAACCCGCCCATATGTTTTGTCAAACCTACCAGTGCAATGATGATCAAAACTGGCAAGCACATCGACGCCAACGGCAAGATCTACCTGCCTTATCTCCATGAGTGGAAGCATGTAAGTGTGAGGTCTCGAGTCACTTTGTAACTGCAGACTGTTTTCCGAGGAGCGTGAAATGTTGAAAATGCAAAAACATAGAAATATGAAGCTATACATGTCCACTGTTTGCATAATGCTGTAATAGAGGATTTGAGGCGTCACTGCAGCAGCGACATACAACACTATTATAAGGCTAAGTGGAGCTTCCTGGGAAAATTTGAAACGTGTCTACCAGTTAGTGAGCCCTAAACGGCACAGTTATATCGGCCATAAATGTACCTTTGGCTCCAGATTTTCATGTTGATCTTTTGAAGAGGCATTTTGCATTTGTTGTCTTGCTCGATGAAGACATGCGCTTCCCTGTATGTCTTACAGCCTCAGTCAGACCTGTATGGTCTAATTCAGGTGATGATTGTGGTTTTTGGAGAAGAGCCTCCTGTGTTTTCTCGCCCCACCACACAAGCCCCCTATCAAGCGTTCCAAGCTGCCGGACCCCCTAACCGTGAGTGACATCCATTTTTGTTGGGTTGCACGGCAATCTCAGTGGACATGGCACCGACCAATACAGCATAAGGGCAGGCTGGACCACAGGCGTTAAATATTTCTACTTGCACCATATCGCTTTGTAAGAAAACACACTTGAACGCCTCCTAGGACACTGAAAGTTGTTGCTGATGGGCCAACAATTTATATGAATGATGGTCCTCTAATCTCACAGCTTTTCACCATGTACTGCCAAATGAGGCACCACAATGGTGATTGAGCCTACGGTTTGTTCATGAAATCATGGCAATAACATGATTGTTTTTGCATTATTATAAACGGACCATATTCACACAAAATGAACCACACAATTATTGTGATAGAAGAGGTACCCATATTAGTTTCCCATTCTGAAAACCTATGACATGTGAGCTTCGAATCATGTCAGGAAAAAGCATTTTTATACTCGGTTATAGTTTGAGCTGGTTTCACATTGTAATGTCACAGATCTTTTGCTGAGACAATATACTAAAGATTTTTCCCATTATTGGAAACTTCTATTATTGGTGCTCATGCCTGAATACAGCACGATGGTTCAAGTGATGCATTTACTTCCTTACACACTAGATGGAGCTCAGACACCACGACAGCGGCCCATAGAATATTGAATTGTTCTGATTGATTCTGATTGTTTTTCCATCTCTCTACCTCAGCTTCCTATATGCCTGGCATGCCTGCAGTCTCCCCCTACGGCTCAACTCCGAACCCAGGGTACGATATTTGCCAAGCAGTTCTCAAATCTCTCCCCGTAATAATAACTCATCCGTGTCGTTCTTCCTGACAAACCTCTCCTGGCATTTCAATTTTCTCACTGAATACAAAACAGAAGCCCTCTTATTAGTGAAACACTTTGCAACGGGCTCAGTTACGTTTACCCCTAAAAGTTGAGGTTAAAATGGAAAATAGGAACAATTGAAATATTTAAATTTAACCATAAATCTATTTGCAGAGGCTACCCAGGATACCAATACCCAGGGGGCAACTCTTACCCGGCCCCTGGTGGACCTGCACACTACCCCACCCAGCCTCCAGTATCCACGGCTGGTAAGTATCGCATTTAGTAAAGACGGTGATTTACTTTTCCGTCATGGTTCAATGTCTTAAGTTTAGCATTTGGCACTAAGCACTAAAGATACAGATGAATATGTCCACTCTAACCGTTATCTTCTGCACTCTTCAGTTTCCATTACCTATTTTGGGTTTTGATTTAATACTGAATGAACCTCTGACAAGACTACACTTTCTCCTTGCTGCTGCCCTTATTTAACGTTGCGATAGGTTGTTTAGTATTTTTACTCAAACCCTCTCGCCCTCTATGTGACTTGGGAGGTGCTGAACCACCAGTGAAAGGTCGTTAGTGTAACTAGAGTGGTGCGCATTAAAGGCCAAAGGGTATGGTGTATCAGGAGGGAAAGGCACAGCCTACACCCTAGGCACAGTTTTATATTTAGGACGGCACACAAAGACAGACCTACGATCCGGAGACCCATCTGCCGCCCCAAAATCAGCTAACCGCGCGACTCCTGTGTAGCCGTGTACCATGTTTAGTAAAGGAGGAGGACTGGGTTTGCATGTACGCTGCTCAGGTCTCAAGGCACAATCGACTCTGACATTTATTGTGCTGACTCCAACCTTCACATGAGGTGGTCTCGACCTATGAGGACAGACTCATCGGTGCCTTTACTCTCACATAACCTCGTATCTATCAGCTTTCGAAGCTTTGGTTTGTGATTAATAAAATAAAAAGACAGTCTGGGTGGGCTGCTTTCGGGGGGAGCTGTGGTGAGGATGTAGGTGTTGTGTGTGTGTGGGGGGGGCGCGGGGGGGGGTCGGGGTGTGAAAACCCTCACGGGCTCGGAGAGAGACCCCCGTGGGTCTAAAGACTCCTTTAGGGGGGGAGAGGGTCAAGACCTCCCCCTATTTCTTGAAAAACCCTGGAAAAAACTCCTGGGGTTGTTCGCAGGGGTGAGGGTCTTCCTGGGGGGGGTGGGGGGGGGTCTTGCGCTTTTTTTTGATATGAAAACTCAAAGCACCAAGACCGGGTACTTAAGGAGAGAATGGTGTTGCACTTCTTTCACAACACCCTGCTAGCGATGATTTCCCCTCTTTTAACACATGGGTGTTAAGGGGCTCAAAAAGTGTTATTCTATTTTGGACCTAAGGGGCAGGAGTTAGCAGAGAACCCATGGTTGCGCCAGTTTGAGT